GGTATATATTTTATTTTTTTGACTACACTTCTGTATTATTGTTCATTTATTCATTTGAAAATGAATTTTGAAGTAGTTTTGATCCAAATCTTTGTGCTTACCAAATGAAATTATTATGTAGGCTAATGGATGCTTTCAATGGAGTGTGTACAACACCATTTCCTTATTCACAAAAGTAAAGGAGTAAAGAGTAATAGTAAAGAGAAAGTAAAAAGGCCGAATCGAGGGGGCTCGTTCCTTATCCTCGTGCTGCAGATGGTCTGTTTAATTGTTTTCTCACAAGTGAAGCGTTCAGTTTTTCCACTTACAAAGTCAGCCATGTAAATAGGAAATGTGCTATGGCAAGATACAACTGACTCTTAAACAGAATGGGAGATGAGACTCTGATTAGTTTATCCTAAAAACACACCTAGCTCATTATGAGAATAAGCGCAACCCCACTCTAAGCCTCACTGGACAAAGAGTAGCCCACCAGCTAACCACGTTGGAACCCCGCTCAACAGAGGGAGATCTTCATATCACGCAAGGAACACAAGTAACACCTCCAGATTACCACTGAAAAGCTGTGAATAAAATGTAACCATAAAGAAACCATAGAAGGGTTAAATTGATTATTTTTAGTTTGCTTGGTTTGGTCTTACAAAAATCTATGGTTTTTACATCGTTACACTCAAATTTGTATTTTTCTTTCTTTACTCTTCTCTTTAACATGTATAAATGTGTTTGTGTTAGGTGTTTCTGTTAGATCAGTCAATAAAGTTTAATTGTGCATAAAGAAAGGTGCCTGTGCATATTTAACTCTCTAATGTCTCAAACGTTGATCTTGTTACTCTGCTTAAACATAGGTTTTTATTTTTGATAGCAATAGCCATAGTTGAAGTCAACTGTTCGTTTAAAGGATGGATGATTCATTCATTTATTAATTTTCTTTTCAGCTTAGTCCCTTTATTAATCTGGGGGCGCCACAGAGGAATGAACCATCAACTTTTCCAGCATATGTTTCACGCGGCGGATGCCCTTCCAGCTGCAACCCATCTCTGGGAAACATGGTGGATGATTTGTCTTTTCCTATTAAAAAAATAAATCATTTTGAAGCCCCCTTCAATATAATCTTGAATTCACTATAAGCTAATTTGCTACACAGCATATGTATACTGTATAGAAGCATTGAGAAACATGTCCTATAGTATGTATAAATTACTGTAAATGTAGTATGAGAGTTTAAAGAGCTGGCCTCTGATCAAACATATTTTCAACACAGGATGATAAGAGCCCAAAGCGACAGCAGTCCTGCCCAATTATCTGACTCTGATGAGGACACACATCTCTAGCCCAAAGCTTCCACACCTCTCTGCTATAAATATCAGCAATGTCTTTTGTTTATTGTCATCTGTGTTATCTTTTCTTGTAACATATCAGCCATCACTCTCTGTCAGTTTTAGAGGTCAGAAGCTGATGGGAAAATTCTAGACAAGTGTGAAGATTTGACGGAGGAAAAGATAGAGGGCATCAGGCTATAATTAAAGATTTATGGTAATTGACTCAACTGTTGGCATGATGGGTCATTAGGTGCAGAATAAATAAAGAGAGTTTATAAATTCCAGGTCATTAAGCAGATAAAACAAATAATCATTATAAAACGTTGATTTGCTTTCTGTTTTGATGAGTTATTACTCAATTAATAACAATAATTCTCATAATTTTCAATGTTAAGTTAGTTTTGTGAACAATGTAATACATTTTCTTGTCCTGTGTTGAAAAGAAAGTATAGAAAGTATATGAACTTAGCTAATTTACTTGGAATTGTGGATTTTAAATAAATAAAAAAAATGTTACTGTAATTAAAGACATTTTCTTTATTTTAATGTTTATATTGTGTGGTAACCTGTCATTTGAAGCCATGCTGTATTAACCGTCAGAATTTTTAAAACATTACAGAATCATCAGAGTGGTCTAAGGCCCAGTTTACACTAATACATTTTAAAATGTAATAGTACTAGTTTTAAAATGGCGTTTTAGAATAAAAATGATCTGCTTCCACACAGGCGTTTCACCTAGTGTTTCTGAACAACTCTCTGCAGAATGCTTTGAGCACATCCACCCATATAAGAGCTGTGCATGTCAGACTGTTTATCAAAGGATCTATCACTGGATCCAGTCTCACTATTTTTGTAAAACGTGATATTTAATTCATCTTGTTGTCTATATTTTTTTGTTTGTTTTCCATATCAAACTTGCAATGTCTGTAACAGTAGCAAAACTTATGTTTTTAAATGAAAATGTATTAGTATAAACGGGGCCAAAAACTTTAGTCTGCGACATGCAATTCGTGACGTCCATGACGAGGGTTAACTTAGTAACCGGAGCGTTTGCCTTCTGGAGGGGAACTTCAATGCTATGTGGAAACTTCCACTATGGGGAAATCTATGGAAAACGCCACAATGATTGAACCTTACCTTGCCTCTGATGAGAGGTTATGCCAAGCTGAGAGTGTGAGCGCACCTGCATCACCAGAGGCACGGTCTTCCAACGTGTTCCCTGACCCTTTTATATTCCACTTCTACAGAAGTTTAACAGATTTAGATATATTTTTCGGGAGTCGTAATGCATCTAGATAAATTTAGGAATTTTAATACGACCTGTTTTAAAAGGGCGTGGTGACACTGTGGAGTGACAGTCACCCGGTGCGTGCTCGCATGCCATGCACATCTTAGGACCCAAGCGTTGAGCCAATGCTGAAGCATGGAGCACATATGGAGCACCCGAAAGGCGAGACAACGGCTGCGGATGCCATATGCTTCAGGACCCTCTGAAATAATATCAGTGGGACCAGAGTTTCTCTTTTAAACTCTCTCAGACAGGTCAGCATCAGCTGGGCGTGCTCTTGGGGAGTTGTGCCGTCATGGTGATTGAGTCCAGCTCCAACCGCAGAAAAGAGATGCTCTGCATAGGGGTGAGCTTGCTCTTTTCTCTGTTAATCTGAATGCCCCAATAGGTCGAGGTGCATAAGCACCCTGTCTCTGTGTGAAATCAATTGATGCCGTGAGCACTAAATCAGCTAGTCTAGATATTTTACTATGCGGATGCCCGCGAGCCGAAGGGCCGCTAGGGCTTCCTCTGCGAGCTTGGTGAAAACCCGCGGAGACAGAGACAGTCCAAAGGGGAGGACTTGTACTGCCAGGCTCGACCTTCAAACGCAGATCACTGAAACTGACAATGGCATGGAAGTATGGAGACAGAAAGTATGCATCCTTCAGGTCTATTGCTGCAGACCAATCCCGAGGAAAAATGCACCGCAGGATGCGCTTCTGCGTAAGCATTCAGAATGGCAGCTTCTGAAGACAGTGGTTCAAATGTGCAGATCTAGGATTGGCCGTAGCACAATGCTCTTTTTCGGGTATGATGAAGTACATGCTGTAAAATCTGCTCTCCATCTCAGCTGGAGGGACCGACTAGATTGCATCCTTTGCCAGGACGACAGCTATCTTCTCTCGTAAGGAGGGGTGGAGGTAGGGCTGACCCTGGAAACACACGCCCATGTACTTATGAGGCCGTCTCGCGAATTGAATAGCATTGCCGAGTCTGATCGCGCCAAATGAGCCAACGTGATGGGCTGGCTCACACTAACCAGGCTGGCAGAGCCCTCAGTAATGGCTTCATCGCTGCCACTTGGCCGAAGGCGCAGGCGGGGGGGAGCAGCTCTTGCAGGCAGGCGCCCTCGGCGAGAAGCAGTGGATGTGGATGGTACAGTGGGGGAAGAGCAGTCTTACGTCTCCACTGATAAATGACTCTGCCCATCGCATCCGACTGCACCGCCATAAATTCCTGGGTGAATTCACTGACGGTATCGCCTAATAGGCCAGCCTAGGATATGGGCGAGTTAAGAAAGCGAACTTTGTCAACTTCGCACATATCTTCTTTTTTTTCCAAGTTTAGCTAGAGGTGGCGTTCCTGGACCACTAATGTGGCCATTGTCCTTCCTAAGGCACACGCAATGGACTTGTGGTCAGTAGAGCACAGTCGGTTGTGGCGTGGAGCTCGTGTAACAAGCCTACAAGCCTGGGTCAGAACCACCCTTGTGCAGCTGGGTAGTGCTGGTAGGTGGCATAGCATGCAGGATGGAAGCAGCCCATCAAGTGTGGTGAGGGCGGAGGCACAAGAAGATCAGGCAGAAAAAAGTGCCCTCAAAGACTGCGTAAGCCTACTGTGCACTTCCTGGACCTAAGGGGTGTGAGGCTTAGAAGGTCTTCAAATTTAGAAGAACATCCTCCACATACACCCATCTAGTCGGCCCGGCCACAGAGTGCCCTCCGCAGATATTCTCAACAATATCGCAAGAGAGAAACCCAGCTTGACCATCTACCGCCGTGTATCACACACTCTTGACCAGGACAAGCAGCCTGCTTTCTCGTTCTCTCTCTCTGTCGTAACAAACCCTCATCAACTCTCTCAGAAGCTTTGTGAAAGGATCTGAAGCAAAAAGGATGCCTCAGCTTGACACATGCGGTGCTTATATTCCAAGATCAATTGTAAGTAGCACCAGCTGTGCATGCTAACGCTGCCAATTCATTGGTATTTCATTGGCTCGTTTATATACTCATTTAGATGATTGATTCTGACAAAATCCCCATAGTGGAAGTTTCCAAAAAGCATTGAAGTTCCCTTCCTGAAGGGCGAATACAGATGTCATAGCATTTGTAAATGCTACTTTCTCCACAAAAACAATTCTTGAGCAGTTGATCATCATTAGTTTCTTTAAATAACAATTTAGCTACAATATTAGCTTTAAGTAATAGAAATAAATTACATTTCAAACTGCATTCAATAAAAAATTTATGTAATAATCTTTCACACTTTTACAGATTTTACTAATTCTTTAGTTTAAAAAATAATAAAAAAATCTCTCTGATGTAAATTTTTTGGACTAGTAGTGTTTTCTGTGTAAATAAATAAATAAATAAACTTATTATTAATATATATAAATGTTGACATCAACTCACCATCTCGTTTGATGAGGATCCTGTGAAGTTTACTGTCAGATGAACCTCCTAGAACAAGCAAATAATGAGATTTTTTAAAAACATATATTGAAATGAAATTTCATTGATGTTAATAGTCATGTAGGCTTTAAATTTCATATTTTAAGACTGTAAGTAATTCCATTTTTAGTGCTGTTCCCAAAAGAAAATGCTATACCAAAGCTCTTGTTTCTTCCTTTACCCACCGCAAAGAAACTATAGAGCTGTCTGTATAATATCCATATCAATTGCATCAGCTTAAAATATAAATGAGCTGACCCATATATATATATATATATAAATTCTTTTTTTTTTTTGGCTCCCTTTATTAATCCGGGGTCGCCACAGCGGAATGAACCGCCAACTTATCCAGCACATGTTTTAAGCAGCGGATGCCCTTCCAGCCGCAACCCATCTCTGGGAAACATCCATACACACTTATTCACAGTCATACACTATGGACAATATAGCCTACCCAATTCACCTATATATATATATATATATATATATATATATATATATATACACACACACACACACACACATGCAAACTTAGTGGAGTTACAGCTCCAACCTAAAAAAAAAAAAAAAAAAAAACACATCCTACTGGTAAGTCTCAATATTAACCCAATTTCAACCTTATTAATGATAGCTATGGGTCAACTTAAGAAACGATGGTATAATAGAATAACTGATTACCTGTTACACTGTTAACCATTAAAAATTTTACATTTAAACACTATTTTTATGTTTATGTTTTAAAATTCTTAAGTGTGATTTGGAGAAAACAAACATGTGCATAAAACCTCTGTGCATGCCTTTACACTAGGTGTAATATTTATAAATAGCAAATGCTGTCAGATCTTTGTCTTGTGAACAACTTCTAATTAATATTATTACAATATAAAAAACCAAACCACACGCCAATATCTGAATTTCTATGAACACAAAAAGAAAAAAAATCCATGTCTAAAATTGAAGTCCTGCTGGTTGAAGTTGAGGCTCCACATGAAATAAAAAATATTTCATGATTATAGTTACTGATCTGAAAAAACCTGCATGAGATTTGCCATTTCTTTATATTTACAGTTTACTAAGGCCACTCAAATGTACAATAACATACTGACACAAAAATAAAGTTTGTTCAAATATTTCTGATGTAGGGGCGACACGGTGGCTCACTGGTTAGCACTGTCCTCTTACAGCAGGAAGGTTGCTGTGTGAATGAGTTTGTATAGGTGTTTCCCAGTATTGGGTTGCAGCTGAAAGGGCATCCACTGTGTAAAATATATGACGGTTGACGGTTCATTCCGATGTGACGAGCCCTGATGAATAAAGGGACTAAGCCGAAAAAAAATGAATGAATGAATATATGACAAAAATAAAGTTGACATCTGATGACTCTATATTTATTTTAATAGATGCAGCATATTTTATTTTATATTTGTTTTTGTTTTTTTATCATTTTGTTTGGGTTTTACACATTGGTACATCAAGAAGTTGTGAAATCTCTTGTGAAATAAGATTTCAAAAAAAAAAATTTAATAATTTGTGTAGCCTATAGAATTTAGGTAAATATTCTAAACATTAGGTGAGTTTAATCTTTCAAAACCACATTAATAAAAAAAACTGAATTAATACTAATTAATTTCTAACACTGAATCTATGTTATTTCAAGAGTTCACACTTACAGTAGCTGATGATTGATTATAAAGCTTGTTTGGCGTGCTGTCCCAAGAGAGAGCCCTGAGCTCAAAAGATCCTCGAGCCCGGGGCTCCCTCCCGTTTGCAAGGCAAGAGGCATACCTGTCAACATTGGGATGTGAAAATAAGAGATATGCCTACCATATAATAAGGGATCCACCCCCCCAACAACCCATATGTGTGTATGTCTGTTTAAACACGCACCCTAAAGCCAGACTTTCTCTCAGCTTCAAATCGCGTGTACAGAATCCGTTAGGGAAACAGCATCTGTTTATCACTATGGAGCATGTCAGCTGACAGTCATGCACCACTATATCACTGTTTTGAGGATTGTATAGGATGGGCGATGGCACTTGTGATAAAAAGTAAATGGAATCACGCCATTTTTAATATTTATATATAACTGTTTTCATTCCTAAACAAAGCGAAAGCACAGAAGACGGCGCACGTTTTAGAGCAAGGGCGACCCCTGGTGGTTCGGCGGTATGGCTTGCGTATAGGGAGGCTCGGCTGTTCAGAGAAAGACTGAAAATACGGGAGAAATACGGGAAAATACCTTTACGGGATGATATCGGGATAGAACAGTAAAATACTGGAGAATCCCGGGTAAAATGGGAGAGTTGACAGGTATGGCGAGAGGGGAGTTTGAGTTTAGATAGATCTCGAGAACTTCCCTGCTGTAGTAACTAATGAACAGACCGTGATTGCTCTTAAAAGATAACTACTTACTAGGTTCATGTCTATGGTGCCGATTTTGATTAGTCAATTAACTTAAGTTGGATGTTTTTGGATGGTGGGAGGAAACCGGGGAACCCGGGGGAAACCCACGTGAGCAAGGGGAAAATATGTAAACTCCACACAGAAATGTTGGTTGGATTGATAAGGACTAGAACCAGTAACGTTCTTACTGTGAGGTAACAGTGCTAATCACTGGGCCATCGTACCACCCATCTAGGAAAGGAGGAGGAGTAGGGGTGGAAGGGGGGATTCTTTAAAATGAAGATGGCTGTCATGTGGAACTTAGGGTATTTATGGTGATTTAGGAATCGTCTGATTGGTGAATCATAAATTGGTTAATGTGGGGCCGGCTGCAAGCAATCATAAGCACATGATCCTCTCGAAATTAGTTTATAAATAGACTTCACTTATGATCAATTTGGTGCACAAACACTACATAAGATGTTCAAATAGCTACAGTGCTATGACTTTGTCACAAAACTGCACCTGCTCAGAACTTGATGTGGCAGTTTCCAGATTAAAGACTTATGAACCATGTTGTAGATTTACACTCACTGGCTACTTTATTAGGTACACCTTACTGGTACTGGGTTGGACCCCCTTTTGCCTTTAGAACTGCTTTAATCCTTCATGGTATAAATTCAACTACTGGAAATATTCCTGAGATTTTGGTCCATATTGACATGATAGCATCATGCAGTTGCTGCAGATTTGTCAGCTGCACATCCATGATGTGAATCTCCTGTTCCACCACATCTCAAAGGTCTATTGGATTAAGTTCTGGTGACTGTGGAGGCTATTTGAGTAGAGTCAACTCATTGTCATGTTCAAGAAACCAGTCTGAGATGAGAATTATGCTTTATGACAGCGCGTTATCCTGCTGGAAGTAGCCATCAGAAGATGGTTACACTGTGGTCATAAAGGGATGGACATGATTAGCAACAATACTCAGGCTGTGACATTGGCACAATGCTTAATTGGTACTAATGGGCCCAAAGTGTGCCGAGAAAATATCCTCCAAACCATAAGATCACCATGACCAGACTGAACCATTGATACAAGGCTGGAATGTATCCATGCTTTCATGTTGTTGATGCCAATGATGCCATGATTCTGACCTCACCCTCTGAATGTAGCAGCAGAAATCAAGACTCTTTAGACCAGGCAACGTTTTTCCAATCGTCTATTGTTTAATTTTGGTGAGCCTGTGCGAATTGTAGCCTCAGTTTCCTTTTCTTAGCTGACAGAAGTGGCAGCCAGTGTGGTCTTCTGCTGCTGTAGCTCATCCGCATCAAGGACGTGTTGTGCAATCAGAGATGCTTTTCCTCATACTTCGATTGTAACAAGTGGTTATTTGAGTTACTGATGCTTTACTATTAGCTTGAACCAGTCTGGCCATTCTCCTCTGCCCGCTGGCGTCAACCAGGCATTTGTGCCCACAGAACTGCCTCTCACTGGATATTTTCTCTTTTTTCTCTTATTTTCTCACATCACTGAGAAACATCCATACACACTCATTCACACTCATACACTATGGCCAATTTAGTTTATGCACTTATGTATATACAGTATGTTAATTCACCTATAGAGCATGTCTTTGGACTTGTGGGGTAAACCGGGGCACCCAGAGGAAACCCAAGCGAACACGGGGAGAACATGCAAACTCCACACAGAAATGCCAACTGACCCAGCCAGGCTGAACCAGAAACCTTCTTGCAGTGAGGCGATCGTACTACACCACTGTGCCACCATGCTGCCCAAAAAATAATGACTTATATTAAATATTTTTTAAAGCTTGAAATATTTAATAAATGAAGTAATCATTCAAAATTGCAACATTGTTTAAAAAAACACATTGTAAAACATTAAAGCTTATTTCAAATCCAACAATCCAGGCCTTTCTAATTTACACCACACTTCATAAAACCAGTTCACAAAGCTTTTATATTCACTACCCTTTCATTAGCTAATGAAACCACTTCAAAAATTTAGTCTGAATGCTCAAAATAATGACATACCTGAGGGTAAGCAGATGGACAGGACACTTATGAGGAGAATGGCTGGCACACAGAGGCTGTGGAGAGACATTATTCAGCTGTGGCTTCACTGTGTGCTCGAGAATGATTTGGTCAGTGCTGAGATGAACAACGCCACCCTGGATGATCAGGTACACATTCCTGCTGGTGACCTGTTAGTGCTTGTGTAGGAATGTGCACTGGAGGCCAACAGAAAGACCCCCAACCCATATAAATACCACAGTGGTTCATGCATGCTGGGGTTTGCATTGACAGATCGATTGCTTGCACTGGTTGTTTGTTTCTGGGTCTCAATGCTCAAAGACTTTAGTAGCACTTTATTTTGATGGTACTTTCGAAAAAAAAAAAAAAAAACATTTCAACACATTTCTAAACATTATAGTTTAAACTCATAACTCATTTTAATTAATTGATTCCTTTCATCTTTGTCCTGATGACAGTACATAGTAGTTTATTAAATATTTTTAAGAGACCAGTATTCAGCCTAAAGTGACATTTAAATGCTTAACAATTAGACAAATCATTATCTAAATAATGGTTTGTTCTGTAGACAATTGAAAAAAATATTGATTAATGATATTGACCTAATTTTTTTTTTATTATTATTCTAGAAAAAATAAAACAAATAAGACTTTCTCCAGAAGAAACAATATTATCATAAATACCATGAAAAATCCCTTGCTCTGTTAAACATCATTTGGGAAATATTTGAGAAGAAAAAGGAGGACTAATAAATTTGACTTCAACTTTAAATAATAATTATCAGTCATTAGAGTTGAAGTGGGTTATTTCCATTGATTATTATTATTATTATTATTATTATTATTATTAATTGCTTTTTGCAATGTGACTATGTCTACACTAGTCTGTTAAAAAATAAATAAAAAAACACCCGCTTCGAATGTTATCACTCGATTGAATGGGCATTATCAGTGGTTGTCAGCTGATAGATATGGGCTCAGAAGGCTGTTATCATTCGTCCACATGGTTAATAAGCTATACGAATAGAGAAAACTCTAGATCCAGATCTGTCTTTAAATTACTGTGACGGTTAGGGTGGGGATAGACTTTAATAAAACACAATGATTGGGAATTTTGATAAATAATATAAATAATTCTTGTGGTTATTTAGCTATAATAATAGAGAAGACTCCGGATCCAGATCTGTTTCTACATTACTGTGATGTTTGGGTTTAGAGTTGGGGTAGGGTTAGACGGTAATAAAATACAATTAATGGGAAATTTTATAAATAATACAAATAATTCTTGTTAACTTCCAGCTGCAGCCATATGTGATCTATAGCTAATTAACCATGTGGATGGATGACAACAGCCTTCTGAGCCCATATCTATCAGCTGATAACCTCTGATAACGGCCATTCATTTGAGTGATTACATTCGAATCGGCTGAAAAAATGTAAAATTGCATTTTCATCTAAAAGTGCTCTGCATAAACATTATCATTTTCAGGTGTTTCCCAAACGTTGTTCATCCACATTAAAACGACTTAAAATAATTTTGTCACTGTACTTAACAGGCATTTTAAAAATGACTGTTCACACTTACCACATAGATTTTGACAGACTTTGATGTTTGCATTTTGTACTGCTGACTCGTATTATAACATTGTATTGTATCGTGTTATATGCATTGTGCATATGTGTTATATATGAGATGACACCAAACTTTAAGTATATGTATGTCATTTAAGAAGCAACATATTGCGACATTCTAATTATAGCATGCAACATAGGCTCATTCTGAAACTGAATTATTTAGCCAGAAGTATGTATGGTTGCATTTTATCTTTAAAATGAACGCTAAATGGCGGTATGACGCCGTTCCTTTTTGCACTTACCAGCTGACCGCTTACTTCCCTGTGGATGGTGGGCTGTTACCAGTTTGTCCAGTGACTTGCCATGTATGTCGGTGGACTTGAGACACAGAGAGCAGTTGAACACAACGACGGGGTTCAGATCCAGTGAAGAATGGTTCCAGAAAGCAGATAAGACAAAAACAGAAGCCAAAAAATAAAATAAACAAGTAAAAGACAGGGTGAGAATGTGGTCAAATCTAAAAATGTTGTAAAAAATCAGACGAGGGCTTTCCTTCTTTTGGATTGCTTTTTAAAACTGTCTCTTGGGTTTAAGAAAGTGGGTGTGCGGGATAGTCAATGCTTTTGAAAACACTATTGGTTGGGCTTAGGGAAGGACAAAGGTGGGTCAGTTGATCAGTCAGTCAATCAGTCAGTCCGTCAGTCAGTCGACAGTTTCCTCTAGTGGATTTACGCAAGAACAGCAGGCATGAATGGCACTTGCAAGAGAAATTTAAGATCTCAAAAAGCGTACTCTTGCAAAACAGGAATTACAAAGTAATTTTTTTAACATCTTTTTGTCTTTTTTTCTTTTCATTAAACAATTGTATTTGTATTGCTGAAAGGTGATATATTAACTGAACTTCTTGTGTGTGATATATTTTGCATACTAATGAAGCATTTTTACAGAAGTAGATGAGGCTTGTCTAAAATTAACTTGAGCTCTGCAGCTAAAAACTTTCTGTCTGTCACTAGAAATGTGTTAAAACTGAACATAGAATAAGTGCAGTTGAGAAAGGCTTGGATTTTTAATGTCGTAATGTGTAGAGAATGTGTAGAGAAGTTTTGCAGAAAAGAGGAAGTATGTATGGGTGCAGCCAATGGAGGAATGAAGAATGATTGACAAGTGACGAATTTCACTAAACTCCACCTGTTAATATCAGCTGCCTATCCGCTTGTTAAGTTGTGACATATCGATGACGTATGGATTACTGTTTCCGAGTCCAAGCCGCTACTCATTTCAATTGAGAAAATATTTGTTTATGACTTTTTAGTCCTATCACACTTCAAAGTGATTTATCTATATATGTATATATATATATATATATATATATATATATATATATATATATATATATATATATATATATATATATATATATATATATATATATATATATGGCCATCGGACATTAGGCATGGATACACATACTACGATTGTGATTTTTGAAAGTATTAGAGCACTTTGTAAATGTTTATTATAACCATTTGATGAGTCTCCCCTTACAGTTTGATAGAGCGATTGGACCCGGAAGCTGCTTTGCGTGACGTTCGCTTGAAAATTGTGCACACCTACTGAATGTACCTTTTGCATTGCATTAGGGATAAGAGAATTATGTGAATCAAATTTTTCATTCTCCTTACCTTTTTATTGAACACACATAGAACTCATTAAATATTCCAGCAGTACATACAGTGGCCTTTGGTGGCTTCGTGAAAACAAAAACTGCAAAAAAAAATTTAGCTCCTGGGACATATTAGGCACTCTCCAAAAATGTATGTAGCGGTACGTTTTCAAAATTAACCTGGCTTGATATTTGAAATACTGTTAAGCATGGGCATTGCTAGCCCTATTTATATATATATTATATTGGTAACACTTTACAATAAGGTTCATTAGTTAATGCATTTACTAACATGAACTGATCATGAAAAACACGTGTACAGCATTTATTAATCATAATTGAACATTTACTAAAGCATTATTAACATCCAAGTCCATGCTTGTTAACATTAGTTAATGCACCATGAGTTAACATGAACTAACAATGAACAACTGTATTTTCATTAACTAACATTAACTAGCATGAACAAATACAGTAGTAAATGTATTGTTCATTGTTTGTTCATGTTAGTAAATGCATTAATTGACATTAACTAATGAACCTTATTGTAAAGTGTGACCATTATATTTCTACTTAGCCCCCCTAAAACTTTTGACAACTAAGTTTTTTGCAGCATTATATTAACCTGTAACCTAGAATTTAACATTGCAGTCAAATCTATTAGCTCTGGAGCAAATAACAGATGACTGCACCAAATATTGACTTTGGATATACCAAAAACGAATTACATTTGACAATGGACCACTATAGATATCCATCATACCCCTGAATAAGTGTCCATCAGAAGAATGCTCTCAGCAGAAATGAAAGGCTGACCAGTCGCCGACATGCCGGAAGTCCCATCTTCACTCAATCACTCACTCACTTTCCTTCCTTCTCCAAAATCATCAAAACACAATTTCAAATAGGCACCGTCCTTTTTAAATAAACTGCATTCTCACCAGAAAGTCTCAAAAATAAAGTATGTGGTCCAACAGCGGCAGTATTTGTCAGACTTTATATTAAATGCTATAAATCTTAGCTGTTCATTATCATAAGCATGATCAGTAAACAACATTATTTATGAATCTCCACCTAACAATAATTTTCAGCAATTACTGCCTGTTTTCTTCTTCTTAATTGATAGTTTCCAGTTACAGCAAACCGGCTGTTGAATATTTATATCACGCTGTGAGTTTAGAAGTTATATTTTATGCTCATTTTCTCCCCTGCTTTAGATTACGTTCCTGGGTATATTTGGAGGCAGAAGCTGCGAAACATCTTGGGAGGGAGACAGATGTTTCTCCAGATGCAATAAACATCTTTCTTTTTCTTTCTAACTCAATTTCCTGCCTCAGCTTTTGAAGTGCCTCCACACTGTAGGACATCAGCTAATGCTTGTGGCTGTTTCACATGGACCCAGCCATACAGTAACCGCTGTATCCTGTGTGTGTATGGATGTGAACCTTCAGACCAGAACCAACTCTAGACAGTGACAAGTTTTCACATCACACAATGTACCAAACGTTAACTGTTTAATAAAGTTAGTTGAACTTTTGGTAGATTTGGTAGATAGATTTGGTAGATAGATTTGGTAGATAGATAAAGTGATTTGGTAGATAGATAAAGTAGAGACTTTATCAAATTTGATGTTCAAGTGAATTATTGAATCAGAATTTTCTAATCTTCAGTCTATAATTAGGATTTTCTAAGGATTTAGATGTTCACCAAGGCTGCATTTATTTAAACCCAGGCTTATTCTGATAACATACTACTATACACATTTCTGAATAGCACCAAATACGTCCTAGAATTCATCAGAGGCTGCTGTGTACGCTTTTTGAGATCTCAAATTCGAAGTAGGGTCTGTTTGCGGACTGCAAGACTGTAACATGACGGGGCC